CCATAAGTGCTTTCTTTTCTTAAATAGACTTCAATTTTAGAACAGTTTTAGGTTCACAGGAAAACTGAGCAGAAAGTACAGTTTCCATATAACCCTGTCCCCACACAGACACAGCTTCCCCCACTAATAATACTTCCCACCAGACTAGTATATTTGTTACAGTTGATTGACACATTGACACATCATTACCACCCAAAAATCATGGTTTACTTTATACCTTATACTTTATACTCTTGGTGGCATTAATACATATTTTATGGGTTTAGACAAATGTATGACGTGTATCCAATATTATAATGACATATAGAATAGTTTCACTACCTAAAAATCCTCTGTGCTCTTCCTATTCATCCCTTTCTCGCTCGCCAACCCTTGGAACGACTAGTGTTTTTTACTATCTTCACAGTTTTGCCTTTTCCAGAATGCATATAGTTGAAATCATATGGCATGTAGCCTTTCACACAGCTTCTTTCATTTAGTAATAGGCATTTAAGGTTCCTCCATGTCTTTTCATAGCTTGGTAGCTCATATTTTTAAATACTGAATGACATTTCATTATATGGGTGTAGCACAGTATATTTATCCACTCACCTACCGAAGGATATCTTGGTTGCTTCTAAGTTTTGGCCAATATGTATAAAGCTGCTATAAACAACATACAGGTATTTGTATGGACATAAGTTTTTAACTCCTTTAGATAAAACTAAGGCATGTGATTGCTGGATCTTATGTGTGGAGATCAAAGTCACTCCATACTGGATGCTAATCTACCATGGTGACTTCTGATTAAACCCAGTCCCAGGAATGCCTCCAAGATTTCTATTTTATTTACTCTTCCTTGTGCAAGCCAAGACAACCTTGATGTTATCATAAACCCATACTGACCACAGATCCCACCCTTAGGCAAATTTTAGGTTAGGACACACATAGCATCCTTGCCTTTGCCTGAAAAGTTAGCTTTAATTGTCCTGCACATTCCTTTGAAAGCATGGGTATCTTTTCCCTAAGGTATATAAGCCCTGGGTCTCAGAGGTAGCAATGTGGACATCTACCTGTCTTGCTGCTGCCCAAGATCATGCTTCTGTCTGTAAGTTCCCCAATAAATCTACCATTTTGTTGCCTTTTATCGACAAACTAGATTTGCCTGCCTCATTCTTTGGTTTCTCAACTTCTGCTTTTGGGGGTTGCTTTGCATCATACAGCCCTTTCACAAAACAGTATGATAAAGAGTATGTTTAGTTTTGTTAAGAAACCACCATACTATCTTACAAAATGGCTGTACCATTTTGCATTCCCACTAGTAATGAATGAGAATTCCTATTGCTCTACACCTTCACCAACATCTGTTGTTGTCAGTGCTCTGGATTTTGGCCATTCTAATAAATGTGTAGTGGTATCTCGTTGTTGTTTTATTTTGCATTTCCCTGATGACATATGACAAGGAGCATCTTTTTACATGCTTATTTGCCATCTGTATATATTCTTTGGTGAGGTATCTGATATGGTCTTTAGTGGCCTATTTATTAATCACATTGTTTATTATTGTTGAGTTTTTAAAATTTTATACTTTAAATATAATCCTTTATTAGATACATCTTTTAAAAAAATTGTGGCTTGTCTTCTCATTCTCTTGACAGTGTCTTTTGCAGGGCAGAAATTTTAAATTTTAATGAAGTAATGAAGCTTATCGATTATTTTGTGGATTGTAGCTTTGATGTTATACCTAAAAAGTCATTACCATACCCAAAGTCATATTGGTTTTCTCCTATGTTATTTTCTAGAAATTTTATAGTTTTGCATTTTACATTTAGGTCTCTGATTCACTTTGAGTTAATTTTTGTAAAAAATGTAAGGTCTGTGTCTAGATTCATTTTTTTGCATGTAGATGTCCAATTGTTCCAGAACTATTTGTTGGAAACGCTCTGCTGCATGGTACTGTCTTTGCTACTTTGTCAAAGATCAGTTGACTATATTTATGTGGGTGTATTTCTGAGTTCTCTATTCTACTCCATGGATCTATTTGTCTATTATTTCACCAGTACAAAACTGTCTTGGTTACTATAGCTTTATAGTAAATATTAAAGTCAGGTAGGGTCATTACTCCAATTTTATTCTTCTCTTTTAATATCGTGTTGGCTATTTTGGTTCTTTTGCCTTTTCATATAAACTTTAGTATCAGTTTTTCAGTATTGACAAAATAACTTCCTGAGATTTTGAACGGGATTTTAGTAAACCTATAGATTAGGGAAGAACTGATATCTTGACAATATTGAATTTTCCTATCTATAAACATGAAATGTCTATCTCCCCATTTATTTGTCCCTTGTTGATTTCATTCATCAGAGTTTTGTAGTTTTCCTCACATGGATTTTGTACATATTTTGTTAGATTTAAACCTAAGTACTTCATGTTTGGGGGGAATGCTAATGTAAATGCCATTGTGTTTTTAATTTCAAATTCCACTTGTTCATTGCTGGTATATAGGAAAGTGATTAACTTTTGTACATTAACCTTGTATCCTGTAAACTTGTAGTAATAGCTCATTACTTCCAAGTGTTTTTTGTCAATTCTTTCAGGTTTTCCACTTAGACAATCATTTCATCTGGGAAAAGGGAAAATTCTATTTCTTCCTTCTCAATCTCTATACTTTTTATTTCTTTTTCTTATCTTAATGCACTAGCTAGTACTTTCAATACACTGTTTAAAAGAAGTGGTAAGAAGCGTCATCTGGCTTTGTTCCTGATCCTAGTGGGAAAGCTTTAAGTTTCTCACATTAAGTAAGATATTAGCTATACTTTTTTGTAGATATTCTCTATCAAATTGAGGAAGTTCCCAAATATTTCTAGTTTACTGAGTTTTTAATTATGAATGGTTGTTGGATTTTGTCAAATGTTTTTCTTTATCTATTGATATAATCATGTGATTTTTCTTTTTTAGCCTGTTGTGATGAATTAATTACCTTAATTGGTTTTTGACAAACCTGGGATAGATCCTACCTGGGATCTATAACTTCTTTTAACATTTCATTTCTTGCATGACATGTCTACTGGCAACAAATTCCCTCAATTTTTGTTTGTCTGAGAAAGTCTTTATTTCTCCTATATTTCTGAAGGATAATTTCACAGAGTACATAATTCTATGTTTCCTCTCAACACTTTAAGTATTTCACTCCACTCTTTCCTTGCTTGCATGGTTTTTGAGGAGAATTTAGATGTAATTCTTATCTTTGTTCCTCCATAGGTAATAGGTTTTTTTCCTGCGGTTTCTATCAGTACTTTTTCTTTACATGTGATCTTCTGTAGTTCGAAAACAATCTTCCTAGGTGTAGTTTTTTTGTATTTATCCTGCTTGGTGTTCTCTGAGCTCTCTGGATATGTTTTGGTATCTGACATTAATTTGGAAAAATTTGTGTCATTATTGCTTCAAATATTTCGTCTATTAATCCCATTATGTGTATTCTACACCTTCTGTAGTTGTCCTACAGTCCTTCGATACTGTGTTTTTTGTTTTTTGTTATTTTTTCCACTCTTACCTCTCTTTGCTTTTCAGTTTTCATATTTTCTATTGGTGAATCCTTAAGTTCAGAGATTCTTTCCTCCGCAGTGTCTAGTCTACTAATGCCCCCATCAAAGGCATTCTTCATTTCTGTGACAGTATTTTTGATCTCTAGCATTTACTTTTGATTCTTTTTTAGAATTTCCATTTTTTTCCTTACATTGTCAATCTCTTCTGAATGCTGTCTACTTTAACCATTAGAACCTTTAGCATATTAGTCATCATTGTTTTAAATTCCTGGTCTGACAATTCCAACATCCTTGCCATATCTGAATTTCGTTTTGATGCTTGCTCTGTCTCTTCAAACTGTGTTTTTTCCTTTTAGTATGTCTTGTAATTTTTAAGACTAATTGGAAGGAAGATCAGTTTAATGTATTAAAAACATTTTCTAAAAATTCATAAATAAAATATAACTAGTATAATCATGTCTATTCTCATTTATTTATGCGAAACTAGGAGTCTTTGTTTTAGTGAGTAAATAAAAATATTTATAAAAATCGTATCAATTGTTTTATTACTAGCAGTACATATACAGGGATTACAATAATAAAAGGAGTATCTTACAATTAGCATTTACTATGTACTAAAATTGTGTTAAGAGCTTTACGTATATCACCTAATTTAATCCTACCTAAACCCTACACCCATTTTACCAGGGAGGAGACTAGTACTAGTTCAATTGCTTTAAGTAATAAAGCAACTGGGAATTAAATGAATAATTGGTACAATCAATAATACTATTTTTTAGTTTTGATGTAACTTAATTTTGTCTTTGTAACTTTTTCAGGAAATCCAATTCATTTCTTTAACCACCTATTTCATTCTGTTCCAATTTATAATCAATTCAAAATACCAGAGTGACTCAAGTTCCATTTAATATTTTAGTTAATGACTCATTTAAATCATGTTGAGAATTTATATTTTTCTCAGTGTTAGAATATATATTACTATCAGTCAACCAGCTTACCTTTCTGCCTTCAACAACATGTTAGTAATTATTGGCTTGGGGCTCCTATGATGTTACAACTTTCGAAGATTCTCCTATTCAAAGGCTTTTTGAATTTCAGATTTTTAATTTTGATTAGTTGTATAAACTGTATATAGATGCATTTCAAAATTAAAACTATTCTCTCTTTACTTGTAATTCCAATTTGTACTGCTGTCTCACTTTTTAATTCTATTTTGATCTGTGAATTGGCACATTTTTAACTCAATAAACCTAAAGCAGGATTTTCTCTGTAGGCATAGACAGCAAACTATCTACATTGACAGGAAGGATGAACTGGAATAAAGATGATGGAGGTTTGGCCTCAATAGATAAATAATTTAGACTTTTTCACAAATGAGAGAAAAGTAGAAGGCAAGTTATTTTCTATTATCTCAGTTCATTAGCCTATAGAAGTTCCTCTGTTTTTTATGAAGATAATGAGTAATCATATACTGACCTTGGACTCATCTAATCCAAGCTTCTTTAGAGACTTTGTGACATAATCCACAAAGGAAGAACATTTGGAATAAATTTTACCAACATGCTGATCACTGCAAAACAAAATTGAATAATTTTTTAAATTGGATTAACAAAATGTGGTATAGGTATACCATGGAATACTATTCAGCCATGAAGAAGGATGACTTACTGCCTTTTGCAACAATATGGATAGAATTGGAGACCATTATCCTAAGTGAAGTATCTAAAGAATGGAAAAACAAATACCACATGTACTCACTATTAAATTGGAACTAACCAATAAGCACACATGTGCATGGAAGGAAGTATAACTCAATGGAAATCAATAAGGGGAGAGGAGGGAGAAGGGAATGGGTGAAAACCTATCTAACAGGTACAATGAACACTATCTGGGTGATGGGCACACTTATAACCCTGACTCAAGCATTACCAAAGCGATCCTTGTAACCAAAAACATTTGTACCCCCATAACACTTTGAAATTAAAAAGAATATAAATTGTCCAATTTAAATTTTAGATGGTTTTAAATTCATTCATGAAATATTTTTAAATATCTTCTCTGTATATGGCACAAGATCCAGATGTGATCAAAATGTAATAATACTTTTGTGAATATTTTTAAGTTATATATTATAAAGTATTCAGGATCTGCTTCTGAGAATTCTTACAACATACAGCAATGAAATAAAGTATTATGAACACAATACTATAAGAAAGAGGTTTTAAACTTATAGTATTAAAAAAGCCTCATTTTAAAAAGGAACTAGAGATCTTTCAAAAGTTTCCCTTGTGCTACAAAACAAATTTTAATTTTACTGGTTCAATATTACAGTGAACATTTCATTGCAATGCCTGCTAATAGTGGCAATAATTCAACACCTATGCAAAGAGAACTTCTTCGATGCCAGGCCAATATTGACCAAGATTCATATGCTGAGTTGGGTCTGACTTGATCTCACTCACGCCCTGAAGATTTTCAATACAGTTTGAACACAGTATCATAAAATAGTTTTGAGTTTAAACAATATAGTGCTAGACAACCACATCTCACAATTTGGGTTGCCATTTAGGCATAATGTAAAAATCAAAGGGATAAAAAAATTACCACCTATAAGTTATCAAAAACAATGAAAAAAGCCTTATTTACTCCTGGAAGTATAAATATTAACCCCTCTGATCAATTAGATATGATATGCTATCATTTCTTCCTCTAAAGTATATCTCAAACATATTTCTTCAGCTACATTTCAAGATGGCCACCTTGATTCCACTTTTCATTATTTCATATCCTGATTATAGCAACTATTTCCTAATCAAAACCTTTAACTGAAGTCTCTCTCCTTCATTTCTACCTACACGTGATATTCTAAAAAGAATATTTTTTATTTTACTTTCTGCTTGAAAAGCTTCCAATACCTATCTCATTTCTTGGGATGAACTTAAAACTCCTTAGTTAAGCAATCTGGGCCCACTGTAACCACATTTTCCCAACCCCATCTTCCATTACATTCCAGAATTTACAGTTTTCCTTAGATGAGTATACTTATTGTTTCAGACTGTCCTCCACATTTCTGCCTTAGGGAATTTGCTCACACAGTCACCTCTTAATGAATTACAAGGTTCCCTACTCTTTCCTTTCCTCCAACTTAGTTGAACTGAAGTCATGCTATGACAAAGTGCAAATTTACATGTTCTTTTTGGTAACATGAGTAACAATAATATTCTCTAATTTTGAATTTATATAGCCATTATCCTTTTTCTATCATTTGTTATTTTATCATTGCCTTGAATTAATAGTCACTTGAATGGGTACGGTTCCAGGAGAAAGAAACTATATATTTAGGGGTTCCTGTATCATTCTCAGATCCTACACATACTTATATTTCTTATGTATAACAAATATCATATAATAGATATGTACATCTTATATATCACAGAATACTGAGTTAACTCCGTAGCCAGAAAAAGATGCCATTTAATATTACTTATTGTTCCTCACCTTAAAAACGTTTTTAAAACAAGCACTTAATTCTTTCCCATGATCTGGTGATTCTGATTTTCATTCTATACTATTTATTGCTGCCTTATGGAGTAGCTCCTGAGAGAAAGAATACAATAGTAGGTCAGAGTGTGGCTTCTGGTCAGATTGGCTCTATCACCTATGGGCTCCTTGTTTATAAAAATGGGATATCAACAGTATTTATTTAGTAGAATCACTATGAGGATTAAATAATACATATAAGGTGCTCATAATTAAGCCATGATGCGAAATGTTGTTACTATCATTATTGTTGTTTTTATCGTTATTGGAATCATAGTCTAAATTTTTCTTTGACTATAGAGTTAAAAGAACCAAAGTAAGCACTAACCACTGTAAGCGTAAGAGAGAATATAGTGTAAATATAGGCGATATTAATTTGTTTCCTGGGTTTTGTATTTCAGGCTGCTTGAAAAAAAGAGAAACATTTTCAATTTTAATTTGCCCTTGTCTTACTTTTCCTTTTCAGAATACATTATTTTTTACTGTTGCAAAGGCTCACAGCATGATTGTAATAAAATTCCTTTTAGTGAGTTAAACAGTAATTTGCTACATCAGACTTTTTCTTTAAATCCTTTGTTAATATGCACTATTTCAAACCTGTTTTTAGCAATAATCATTAGGAAGAAAAATATCGCCTAGAACTAGAAAGGTGATAATTTGATCATGTTACTTCTCCTCTTTAAATTCTTGAAGAGTTTCCCATGAATTTTAGGAGTAAGATATAAATCCTTAACATAGTATATAATCCTTGTATGATCTGGTTCTCTTTAGACTTTGTTTTATGACATTGCCTCCTCAGCAACACTGGCATTCTTTCAGTTTCTTGAACACATCAGGCTTTTAGCTACAAACACTATTCTTGGAACACTCTGCTCTCAGTCCTTTGGCTCTGAGAAGCCCAACATCCTCCTTTCAGAGCCTATCTCAAATGTTACTTTCTTAGAGAAGCCTTTTCTGGCCCTCCAGATGAAGCTGGGCTCCTGACACAGAGACCCTTTCCTTCATACACTCCCTCCTGTTTATTTCTCTGATTGTCTGTCTCTCCCTTGATAATTTAAGCCAGTGAACTCTCCAAAGGGGGTGAACACACTCAAAGGGAAAGAGAATACTAGAATTTTTACTTCTATTTTATCTCTTTTTAATTTAGAGTTCACTGTAAAATCTATACACTAGCAGAAAGACATGTAGATCATTTATAAATAATTATTCATTTTTGTATGAATGCTCAAAAATGTTTATCAACAGAGGCGTGAAATGTAAAAATATGTCCGACACCCCTACTCTAAGTAGCTGGAGAACAGAGTTTCTATCTCTTTTGCTCATGGCTCTATCCCCAGAATCTTGCACACAGTACCTTACATAGCAGGATCTCAATAAATGAATTAAATAAATCATCTCTCAGCTTGAAGAAGGAAACACATCTAGTTACACTGTAAGATGAAATGCATTTATATAGTAAGTAGGTGTATTTATTGTAATCAAGTAGACAAGAGTACAGGTAGGCTTAATTATACAAATAAGTCCATTAAACTATATAAAGAACTACTGAACAAATATATAAGAAAAAGTGCACAGTAAACAACACAAATAATAACAGCTAATATTTATTTCATGTTTACCATGTGCTAGTGATTTGTAAGTCCTTTGCTGCATTTACTCATTTAATCCTTATAACAACCCCACGTGGTAGATCCCATTATTATCCCCACTTTAAAGATTTTAAAGTAAAGGAGAGGTTAAGTAAACTGCCCAACGTCTGACTTCAGAATCTGAGATATTAACCAGTCAATATTACCTCGAGCACTGTACCTGAATAGGATTCATACTCAATATTTTTAAACTACATATGAAAAACAGCCACCTCTGCCTTATGGGTAAACAGAAGTAAGCAGGCAGATTTCATTACACTCTACCAGAGTGTGAGTACTTACTCTTATAGAAAAACTCTGTGTAGACCCTTCTGCTATACTCAAGGAAGAGGAGTTTTAATGCTTTAGTACATCTAAGGGATGCTAAAAATTCTAATAACTAAAAATATTATATGAGGGATGGATATGTTGTAGGAGGAGATTTGTTCTTTCCAAGTCATCTGTTGCTAGACCTACTGCCCAAACTTAACCAACAGTTAAGACCAGTCAGAAGTATGTGGTTTCTTTCCAAATGGTACTCACGTTAATTAGGTCATTTATGCATTCATTTTAAAAACATATATTGCATATGCACGATAGTGTAGTGATTGGCATGGGTTTTGAGCTCAGGACTGAAATGGCCTGAATCCTCATTCTACCACTTATTAAAGATGTAACCTCTCTGCCTCTCTGTGATCATCAGTAGAATGGGGTTGTTAAATCTATTTCATGAGGCTGAACATAACAAAATATTCTATACACAGTGCTTGGTTCAATGTCTGGCAAACACTCAATAAATGATGGTTATTTTCCTGTCATTGTGCTGGGTTCTAGGGGTAGAATCACCCACAATTTATAAATGAAGATCTTTCACAGTTCATAAAAAAAAGATAGGTGAAGAAATATATAGTACAATATGGTATGTACATGGTGGAGCAATTTAAATATTGCAGAGGAAAACACAAAGTAGGAGTGCTTTAACTACCTGGAATTGACTAGGGAAGTCTTTTTTGAGGAGGAATTAAGTTTCAAAAGTCTCATTTTCCAATAGCACTGTGAATAGCAATATTCAGAAACTAAGTGAATGAAATTAATGTACTAAAGTTAGACTAATATGTAAAATTTAAAAATAGGTTATAACAATTTATCATTAAATTGTGTTCCTTAAGAACTCCAAGGAGGTACTTTAAGAGTTTCTAATATTCCATAAAATATGAAAGAATAACTGTCTAAGAAATAAGTCCTTTTCTAAAATCTACAGAATTTATTTGGATCTATGTAAGACTGTATTTGAAAATAGAGTGCTATTGCTAAAGAAGTTTGAAAAAATTAGTTTTGTTACTTCCATAGGATTGAGATAACTGAGAAGTACCAATGATTTCATTTCGGTTTAAGAAAAAAA